TTTTTTTTTTTTTCATTTCTCTCTTCCAGACAGTTGTACTGTCACTGATCTTAATCATACATAACACTTTTCCTCTATATTTAAATTTTATTTAAATTGTGCTTCTATTTTATTTTCAGTATTGAGGGTCATATCCAGTCCCTCAAATATACTAACAGAACATACAGAACATAGAACTGTTCACACTCATGGCAGTGTTTGTTTATTTTTTTTCCTTTCTTTCCTTTATCTTTGGAAGATATGTCCTTACTGGTACTCCATCTATAAGTGGAAAAAAAAAGGGGAGAATACATTGTCTTAAAATTTAAAATTACATGGATTTTTATTCTAAGAGATTCCATTTTTAAGTGAGTATTATCACATATCTTCAAAAAATATGCATTTCTAGCTTTGATGGAAATGGCATTGTTTATTAAGGAGCCAATTAAGAGTTGCCATGGGCCAGGAATAAAGATTTAGGTCACCCCAAAGTCCTTGTCCCATGTGCTAACAATTTGAAGATGTTTGCACAGCAACAGAATAAGGTCATAAGTCGTGCAATTTTCCTGTGCAGTGGCAGAAATATTTCAGGAGGCAAAGCAGAGAAATCAAATGCAACAGTTCTCACGTGCTCTTTTGATGTCATTCTTGGCTTTTTAGGTGGTGGAAATTAGGTGCAAACTCGATACATTGCAAAACATTTCTTCTCATAGTCACAGAGATGTAGATCAGACAAAGCAGTGGGAAAGAAATGGCAAATAATGGGGCTAATAATAGCTCGAGATAATTTTTTATTAGACTCTGTACCTCCAACATTCTAATCTTTCCCCTATCGTTGAAGACCTATTCAGTTTCCAGACCTGTAGAAGTTTTGGTAAAAGATGCAGATTCTTTTCTGGACTCTGTCTTCATCTAATAAAATTAGATACAGGGAAAAACACAATGAAAAGCTATGTAAGAATAACTTTTTCTACCTCTATTTAATTTTTTTCCTTTTTCTTTCTTTCTTTCTTTCTTTCTTTCTTTCTTTCTATCTTTCTTTCTTTCTTTCTTTCTTTCTTTCTTTCTTTCTTTTTTTTTTTTTAGACTGGGTTACTCTGGAATTCACTTTGTAGACCAGGCTGGCCTTCAACTCACAAAAATCAGAGGTTAGTCTCCCTCTATTTCCAGCTAGTTTTTTGTTTATATGTAAATGAAAAACAAAAACAATTCCTCCTAAAGTCAGCTCATAAGGCAAATGCCTTCCTTGTGTCCTGGCCTTATTAAACTTCCCCTGGAGAAACTCCTTTCCCTACTATGGCTTCAAGATTTAAGTAGACTATGACATTGTGTTGTAAATCTTGCTCCTGACAGTAATACCTGATAGCAAATGGTAGATTTTTGGTAGATCTCAATAAGTTTTCTCTCTGGTTGTCTCTTTTTCCTTTGTTTTCATAGCAATATAATAAGTTGATTTTCTGTTTGCCTCCTTTTCCTTTGTTTTCATAGCAATATAATAAGTTGATTTTCTGTTTGCATTAACTAAACTTCACCCTTCACATTTTTCATAGGATCAAAAACAAACCAAAGCAACACTCAGAGAAACCTATAAGGAAATTATTTGAAAAAAATGTTGATTGCCATCAGTCTTACACAGCTATTTTTAATAGATGCTCTCTATTTAACTTTTTCTTTGCTTTAACATGATATGAGTTTTTTACACTTAATATATATGTTTAAACTACTTTGTAAGTGTATCTGTTAATTTCAAATAAAACTAGGATTTCAGAGATGTTAAGTAAAGGATGAAGGAGAGGGCTTCTGAAGACAAAATAACTAAAAAATCTTTCAATATTTTATTAGAACTTTAGTAATAGCAAATTAGAAAACTATATTTTGCTTTCATTGGTCTATATGGTCAAAACTATATTTGCTTTCAATGACACTAACCAAGCACGTGAAAGACCTGTATGGAAAAAAAAAAAAAAACACTTTAAGTCTCTGAAGAAAGAAAATGAAGAGGGTATCAGAAGATGGAAAGATCTCCTGTGCTCATGGATTCATAGGATTAACATTATGAAAATGGCCATCCTGCCAAAAGCAATATACAGATTCAACGCAATTCCCACCAAAATACCAACTCAATTCTTTATAGACCTTGATAAAAAAAAGATTCTCAGCTTCATATGAAGAAACAAAAAAACTCCAAGATCTCCAAAACGTTCCTGTACAACAGATCATCTAGAGGTATCTCCATCCCCAATCTCAAGCTGTACTACAGAGCAATAATAATAAAAACTGCATGGTATTGGCATAGAAACAGAAAGGAGGATCAATGGAACCGAGTAGAAGACACAGAAATAAACCCCCACACCTATGAATACTTGATTTTTTACAAAGAAGCCAAAACTGTTCAATGGGAAAAAGACAGCATCTTCAACAAACGGTGCTGGTCCAACTGGATGTCTACATGCAGAAAAAAGAAAATAGATGCATATTTATAACCCTGCAAAAAACTAGTCTAAGTGGATCAAAGACCTCAACATAAAACCAGATACTCTAAATTGGTTAGAAGAAAAAGTGGGGAAGACCCTAGAACTCATTGGCACAGGAGACAACTTCCTGAACAGAACACCAACAGCACAGGC